AGGAAGCGTTTAAGAACTAGAGGAAGGTTGTGGGTTTCATTATTGCTATACTGTACCCTAAGTGACTCTTCTCCCCACTACCCCTCTGCAAGGTATGTCCAGTTGTCTAGAGATGGGCATTGGGTCTCTATCATGCGCCACCCTCACTGACGAGGATATGACACCCCACCCCCACCCTCCGCCTTTGGTGTTTGAAGCCTGGTCCATTTGGCCCTTCATGATCACACATGTTGGTGTGCTGCTTCCATGTACAACTTTTAAATGAACATTCTCACTAACTTGAAAAGGTCCTCACCCAAAGTCAATGATAGCTATCTAGTATTACAAATTGAACTGAATGCAAGTTTATGTTAAAACCCATTGTAGTAAAGTAAAGGAAGACATTTTTACAGTTATCACTCTGAAAACACATATTAGAAAAAATATTAAAAGGTATAGAACTTTAAAAAATAGTTTATTGGCATATAAGTCACATGTCATGCATTTACTAGTTCAATCATAGGAAGAAGAGTCATGCAATCATCACCACAATCAATTTCAGAACATTTTCTTCTTTCTCATACTCATCGTTGTAGATTACCTTTCATGGTTAGCTTTAAGAACACAGGAAGTAGCCTAAAGCATGTACCTGTTCCCCCTGAATTTTGTTCTGATGTTTAGTTGTTGTACACAAGTTCAACAACAAAGAAAATATTCCTGAACCATTAAATTGCCTTCCATCATACCACTCTACAAATGAACAGCTTTCCCTGTTCAGTCTTTGCCCACGTACATTCATAATTCTCCACAGATGTCACATAATACGTGCTTGATAACATTTTATCACTTACTATAGTTTATTTGTATTATATCATTAAATATTTTTTCTATACCTCCATATAACTTACTGGGTCTTTTTGATGTCTCCAAAATAGTCCATCAGGTTCTCTCACCTATATTTCAGTGGTTTCTGCCACCCCTCATAAACATATTCCTCCATTTCTCATTAGTCATAGAATTAAAAAGTTCACAGAAAGAGCTAAAACTCCATTACTTAATGGGTCAGAAAGCATTTTGGGGGGGGGGCGGGTTTCCAAGGTTTTGTAAATCTTTTTTTTTTTTAATCGTTTTATTAGGGTCTCATACAACTCTTATCACAATCCATACATACATCAATTGTGTAAAGCACATTTGTACATTCATTGCCCTCATCATTCTCAAAACAT